TGTTTATAACGTAATTGAATGATGGCTTGATATCTTCATTTTGTTTTTTTAAAGTCTTATTTAATTTATGACTATTTTTTGCGTGGATTTTTGAAGTAGGATAACTAATAAAATGTATCGCTCTTCTAGATGACATAACAAGATGAGGCCAGTTTTCTAGTTAGACCTTCAAGAATATATAGAAGAAACTGAATCCAATTTAGTGTAGTAATTTTTGCGTAATGCTAGAACAAACGTACGTACATACATACTTACCAGAGGGAGACTTTGTACAAAAGTCGATTGCTTGGATACCTCTGTCCCATTCGTGTTTCAACCGTGAAGCAGTTGTGTTTGCATAGCTGTGTTTCGGTTTGAAGGGTGGGATATGACGTAAATTTACTGGGTACAGAGGAATAACACCTGAGTCCTCAGGAATGGCAACGCATGGGGGGGTATCATGGGCGAAACAGTATACTCTGTTATGTCCATGGTACTGCTCATGTCTATAGGCGACGGTTACCTAATGCTCACCTGATAAGCTGACTACTCACCTGATGGAAAGTGGTAACCGTCGCTTGTAGATATGAGCAGTACCATGGACATAATAGAGTATACTGTTTCGCCCATGATACCCCCCATGCGTTGCCATTCCTGAGGACTCGGATATTATTCCTCTGTACCCAGTAAATTCACGCTATATCCCACCCTACAAACCGAAACACAGCCATGCAAGCACAACATGCAATGGAAGAGGAAAGCATATTGCGCCCACCTCAAATAATAACTGGGATAAGGATAGGATGATGAAGATGATGTACCGTATGGGATGGTGAAAATAAATAGGCTACTTATTATCCTGCGTCACGTGGACGAAGTCGCGGTTAAAAGCTAGTGGTAATAAAAATATTACACTACAAACTTTAACTGAAGTATACTCAGTTTTCAGTTTTATGATTAATGACACGTTTGTCGATTTTTCAGTGGTTCCGTAAACTCGTGTCGTGTGACGCGAACTGGAAACCAGATAAGAGTATTTGTTTTGTTTACTCTATTAGTGTGAACAAATAAACTTGAGAAAATAAGGTAAGGGCTTTTTGTCTCATTTCTTTATGTGCCTTACGTAATATATTAATAAACATAAACATTTAATTAAGATTTGTCACTTGAGCATTTTGCATTGTATTGTATTTTTTTTTGATGAGCGAAAATGGTATGCTAACCCTGCCTGCGCTAACGGGATACGCTGGCGGAGCGAATAAAAACAGGCCAGTTAGCCCATCATGATGAATTTATCAGGAATTAACCATTATAGTTTCCAGGGGGAACCGCGAGGAGCTCGATCTGGTTGGGTATATTGCTAGCAATGGGATTCTCAGTCTCCATTACTAACAATCCCTTTCCCCCCTATTGTATTGTATTGTATTAGCCGTTATCTGCTGGACATAGCCTCCCCCATAAGGGGGGTTTTGCCAGTAAATGCCACGCTTGGCAGGCGAGCTAGTAACCTTTTAAAGATGAGTAAGTTCCTTTAGTCGTCTCCTACAACACCCACAGGAAAGGAAAGGTTGGCCTATCCTATGCTGAGACCACACGGCCATTAATATTAAGGATATACTATTTTTGTTTTTACAACACATGGAGTAAACGAGCATGCGGCTCACCTGATGGTAAGTGACTACCGGTACCCATGATCACCCACAACACCAGCGGCATTGCAGGTTTGCTGCCGGCTTTTTAAAAAAGAATACGTCTTTTTCTTAAAGGCTATACTAGCTATAAAATTATTTTTTATCCTGTTACTTCTACTACTAGTAAAAGTACTTAACAACAAATTCAATGATAATAAATCATAATACCTAATTGTTGGTAACCTATAATTCTTTTCAACAATCCGACTCAATTTTAAAAGCCGCTCACTTTTCACTTGTAATCTCCTTAAAAATTGCCACCCATTCCCACAGGGGTGGCAACCCTAAATCAATCACAAGCCCGCGAGGCGTGGATCTATCCATCATAAGTCCGTCGTATCATTATACCACAATTGTAGAACAAGGGTTGTGCCTCGACGTTTGTGCGACACGTGTTCTTTGTTTGAAGGTTTGAACCAACTAAATTATAGTATTAAGTATGCTCCGATGAGTTCGTAGTGATTTCAGTTTATAGTGGTTTTTTGAACGGTTTTCAAAATCTCATCATATCAGCCTTTAACTGTCCAAACTCTGGTAAAACTCCTTTTATGGGGAAGGCTTATATGTATTCAGCTACGGATAGTTAACGCCTGAAATGGTGAAATAAAATGATGTCTGTTTATCTATAACACTGTGTATTTGTACCGGCATTACACAAAAACTACTGCGTCAAATTGGATGCGACTTTTACAGGTGTGTTCGTAAAAGTACGGTTCAAATCTAGTATATGTTTTACCTTAACACGCCATCTAGTGGTGTACTTCATTAGTTTTCCTACTTATAACACCATACGTACAAAATAGCTAGCAAAATGCTAGTTATTTACGGACATATATATTTAGAAGTGTGAACATTTGCATTTGTCAATCTGACATTAGTTCATTATTATATTTTTCAAAATAATTAACTCGGCATTCTTGTTAATCTATCTACATGACAAAACCGACTCCCTGCCAGTTATTAATGCTTACTGTTGCATAAGTAATGCATAACACCGCCATAATAAGTACAGAGGCGCCTTGATCCCACAAAGTGAACGCCTAATCTCTTATTAGGTGGGGAAAAGTATGGATTATTTCTGTCTTGTTATACTTTATTTACTTTTTACTCTTAGACGCTTTTATCATTTCCTATAGTATGGCGTAATGTCGTATCATTTTATCGTCACAATATAATGGCATTAAATATATATATATCAAAATTCAGTCAGCAAAAAAGTCACTTTTGATTGAAAATTTTGACCCAATCTTATATTATTATTTTTAAATATGTGCTTTTATCTACATAATCCAAATAATATAAGACTGTCTATATACATATATAACGGGAATTTAATGAACTCACAATTTTTCTGACGTTTCCGACAATTGTTTCGACTTCATCCGCCTTCTACAGGTGGCATTTGGAGTATGGCGTATTGCTGGCCATCATAATACGTCCATTATATTTTTTTTTACAATTCTGTCACTCTTAGTCTTTGTGTTTTTCTAGTAATGCAGATGAGATTTTTTTGATACCACTGAGGTGGCAAACAAGCATACGGCCCACCTGATGGTAAGTGGTTGTCGTAACTTACGAATACCTGCAAAACCAGAAGTATCACGCGCGTGTTGCCGACCCTGAAGAAACCTCTTTATCCCCCTTTTGAAGAACCCCATGTTGTGGTCTCTTAGGAAGACCTCGGCAGGGTGCTCATTCCACAACCTGAGTGTTCATGGGAGGAAACGTCTTTGAAACCGCTCAGTACGCGACCATTGAGGCTGTAGGATATGAGGATGAACTCTCTGTCAAGGCGAGCCGTACGATGGTAGAAGTGGCCGCGGGCATTATATTGAACAATTCCTCTGAACATCCATTATACAAGCGGTAGAACACACGATAAAAGAAAACTACATAATCAAGCATTTTAATTATTTACCCGTTTCTCTTAAGGCGCTTTGCGTTATAAATGAAGTCCGAATGAAGTCGAAATAATGAGTTCATTAAATTTCCCGTTACATATATGTATATATAAACAATCTTATATTATTTAATGTAGATAAATGTAAATATATTATCACCAGCAAAAATGCAGCTATAGCATACAGAAGCACCTTTCAATACTTCTTATTTGTAGCAATCTCTCTGTGTACAAATTAATTTCTGCTTATCACGGACTCTTATAACGCCACTATGCAACGCTTCCTTGACACTCCAACTGGGTTATTAGTTAGGGTGCTTTGTGGGATTATTTAAAGCTGACGCGTCAAATATATTATTCTATATGAATACTAGTTACCAGAGGGAGACTTTGTACAAAAGTAGATTGCTTGGGTACCTCTGTCCCATCCGTGTTTTAACCGTGAAGCAGTTGTGTTTGTATGGCTGTGTTTCGGTTTGAAGGGTGGGATATGGCGTGAATTTACTGGGTACAGAGGAATAACACCCGAGTCCTCAGGAATGGCAACGCATGGGTGTATCATGGGCAAAACAATATACTCTGCTATGTCCATGGTACTGCTCATGTCTATAGGCGACGATTACCACTTTCTATCAGGTGGGCCATCAGCTTGTTTGCCTTTTTAAGTTGTATAAAAAAAAGTAGCTGCGATTTCTTTCACATATTTCACTAATATATTAAAATTAGAAGTAGACGGTGTCTGTAGACACATGGGGGTAGACTACATACATACATATCTGTCACGCCTGTCTCCCATTAGGGTAGGCAGAAACAATGGAACGCCAAATGCTTCGATTCAACAAACCTCTTTCGCTTCTTCCACATTCATCAATCTTGTCATACACGCTCGCCGGTTACGGGTACTTTTAATTGGGGGTAGACTATTAAAAAAAAATATGAAGCTCTTAATTAAATCAATAGACAACAAAAATATTATTTTAGTATAATACTTAATAATTTTTGTCTATATATATATATATATGTTTGTTTGTTGTGTCTATCTATATGTTGCCGTGTGGTCCCGACACAGAATGGACCACCCCTTCCTTTCCAGCCATAAGAGGCGATCAAGGGACCTTAATAATCGAGGGATGGGTAGTAGTGTCCCTCGTAAAACATCACCAAAGCCTGCGATTGCCAAGTGTGGCAACTACTGGCAAATATCTCCTATTATTGGGAAGGCTAATGTCCAGCAGTGGACAGTTAACGGATGATATAATGTATGGATATAATGTAGGACTGAAGTCACTTAATTTTGAAACAATTGTAAAAACTTCAAAACTCCTTACACTTATTGAGAACTATTGTTTTGAGACAAATTTAATTTTGAGGATAAGCAAATACCATTAACCAGTAATTTTGATTCGATAATAATTTAATATAGGACCGATTACAAAAACATAAGTTTTATATAAATACAAATCAAGATAGACATACAAGTACAATCTAGTCTTCCACATTGGCATCTTCCTCCATCACGTCCCATAAGAATCTGTTCCTAAACTCGACGTGTTTGTCTTCGATCCAATCAAAATCCGGTATCGAGTCTAACTCCTCATCGAGCATGGATGTTGATGAGAGGAGAGTGGAATCGATGACATTGATTGCATCACCTGCATCTCCACTTTCAGGTTGGCTCCTGGCTGTGCCAAGGGTCTGTTGGGTGAGAAAGTATATCCACATTAAGTAAACAGCTTCCTGCCGAAGTATGACTAACTATATAATAACTAAAAATCAAATATTTCCTATTTATAAAATAAGCAAAGATGTATGTTTAAACTATTATTTATTACCTGTATCTCCAGTATATCTAAAAAAATTTAAATTCTTACGTCAACTATCGCCATATGCAGTATGGGAACTTCAAGCTTGAGTGGCTTGATCTCCTGCGGCTCGTCGTCCAAGTAAGTATAGTCAGTAGGTACCTGCTAATTTTATTAATTTTTTAGAGTCGAGAATAATTATATAATTAAAATTTACTCAAATAATGCTGTTAATAATTACAAGACATCAACGTACAAAGAAAAAGTCAGAAATAATGATGACATTTTTTTGTATACCACGAAGATAGCAAACAAACATACAGCCCGTCTGATGATAAACGGCCACTGTAGCTCATGGACTAATTGTTTTTATAACATTACCCGCTTTAAACGCCACTTCTCAAGAAATACGTTGGTCTGACGCAGAGCTTCCTTGCTCTCGTGGAGTAGTTCATCCAGCCTGTCGTGTCCTCGATGCTTCTTGTATTTGTTCAAAAACTGTAAATTTGTCGATGAAAATCAAATATAGATTTGAAATGGCTCAGGAACCAGTGCATGTATGAAAAGAGACATTTTTTTATGCAACTTAGAATGACAAACAAGTTGAAGGTCCACCTGATGGAAAGCGGCCTACAGATATGAACAGTATACTGTGTCACTCATGATATCCCTCATATGTTACCATTCCTGAGGACTCAGGTGTTATATCTCTGTATCCTGTAATTTCACTGTCATATCCTAACCTTCAAACCAAAACACAGCAATGCAAACACGTTTGCCCGTACGGGGTAGTCATTCAAGAACCTTTCTTTCTGGTTGTCGGTTCTTCGAGCTACGTGACCAGCCTATTGTCACTTCAACTTGCTTACCTTATTTTATATGTATATAAGTTTAAAAATCTTATTTATTCGATTCATCAAAATTAAAGCTGTAACTCACTGCTATTGTCAGAGACAAAACTATAATTTCAGTAAACAATATCGGTAGACTGATTGGATTCTCGCTTCTGAAGGCCTGTTTCGCCTCCTCCCTGATGGACCTCTTCACGAAACATGCAAATTTGCAGAACATTTTTTGTGACATGTCAACGAACCCGTTTCCCAATATGTAATCGATCAAAAAGAGACTTAGTATTATTACTCCATAGAGTATAGTATTGCAAGCCTGCAGGAACATCTTGGGTCCGTTCAGATCCTAATTGTGAATCCCTTTTTATATTATTTTACATTGTTTTCACGGACAATTTTTCTGTGCTTGCCTAAATTAGAATGTACTGACAATGTCAATGTGATAGCTGTTTTATGTAGGTTTAAGTTTCGGATAAAAAAAAAATCCAGCATAAAAATCTAACCATGATTAGTTGTTTCTTTCACGTTTGATGTCTATTTCTTTACTTGAATTTAATGGAGCTAAATCCTGTGTTGATTTGATATTAGTTATATTAAACGACCAACGCGGTAATCTTTTTTTTTAATGGGTGATAATGGAATGGTAACCCCGCCCGCGCTATCGGTATACACCGGCGGGGCACCAGTGAAGGATGATAGATGAGGATGAAGCAGGTCAGTTAGCCCATTGTGACGAATTCAACGAGAATTGTTCACGATGGTTTTCAGGGGGAACCACGTGGAGATCGACCTGATAGTGTATTGCTAGCAATGGGTTTATTAGACCCCATTACTAACAATTCCTTGCCCCCCCCCCCCCCCCCATGTATAACATATTCATAACATTGATAAAATTGAACAAACAGATATTTTGTGATAAAGTTGTTTCAACAAGTTTAATCTTCTACACGTTATACACGCAGGTCCTCTTTCATCGATATATTTCAATAGTTTCCATGGCAACGTTATTTGTCATGACAACGTTGACAATATTGTCATTTTGATAAACCTGTCTTTACTCAACGCAAAATTTGCCGAATTAGGATTATTGTTTTATAAATTTTATATAATCTTATAAAAATAATAAAATGGTAAGTTTTTTTATACGACTTAGAATGACAAACAAGCTGACGGCCCACCTGGTGGAAAGTGGTAACCGTCGCCTATAGACATGAGCAGTACTATGGACATAACAGTACACACACATACTGTTTCGCCCATGATACCCCCCATGCGTTGCCATTCCTGAGGACTCGGGTATTATTCCTCTGTACCCTGTAAATTCACGCCATATCCCACCAACTACTTCATGGCAGAAACACGAATGGGACAGAGGTACCCAAGAAATCGACTTTTATCCAAAGTCGAATTCTACGTTACTTTTATTATAAATGTTACCAAGTATTACTCATATCAATTACCAACCTGCCAATTTTGGCTACTACTGGCAAAATACCCTCTTATTGATAAGGTCTATATTCAGCAGTGGACAGTTGACGGCTAAAATGATGATGATGATGATTATTTATATTGAGTATTGTATTAATTAGCAATTTTTACATTACAGCCACCCAAAGGAGGTAAAGGTGGTGGAAAGAAAGCAGCAGGTACTTTTTTTAATTTTATTAACAATTTTTTGTATTCACTTCAAATAATAAAGCCAATATAAAACAAACATTAAGAAAAAACAACTTGAATTAACAAATTTTAACATACTTATATTGGATCAGTATTCGATGTATGTAGTATAACAAGTATTATACTTTAAGTCTTATCTAATTATGGACTCTTAGATACTTAGCAATTGCAACGAATGAAGCACGTCATGGACGTCATGGTATGGTATTTACCATTTCTTAACTGACGGGCTTTAAATTAAACGTCCTGTAATATTCACGTAAAAAGTGACAAATTAAAATATGTCGAATGATACATACTTAATTAGAAAATTAAAATTGCAGCTATCATCATCGATGGAGTGGACACGTCTGAGATGTCTCGAGAAAAACTCGAGCAATTCACATTAAAAGTAAAGGAAGAATTAGACAAAGAAAGGGAAGAACGAAATTACTTCCAATTAGAGCGTGATAAAATTCGTACATTCTGGGAGATTACAAGACAACAACTCGATGAAGCCAAAGCTGAACTAAGGAACAGAGAAAGAGCAACAGAAGAAGCTCAGGAAGAAAATGAAGCGCTTTTGGAAACTGAGAAGCAGAAAATAAAACATTTAAAATATGAGCAACAAGCTGCTGCAGCGGCTTTGAGGGCAGAAAATTTAGTGGCATTAAAAGCCGCCAAAGAAGAACATGCTGAACAAGAACTTGAATTATTGAATGATAAAAGGGCATTAAGACAAGAAATGAGAGAGAAAATATTGACTTCTCAAGATGAATTAAGAAGAGCCAAACTTGTACATGCAGAAGAATTGTCAAAAGTAAGAGAAGAGTTTGAAGAGAGAGCTGGACAAATAGAAGACAAAGCTGAAAAGAAACTTCAAGAGACTAAAATTGAATTGACAGTAAAACACAGAACTGAAATAGCAGAAGTAGAAGAAAGGAAAAATAAGCAACTATCTGAATTAATCGCACACCATGAAAGAGCTTTTGCTGATTTGAAAAATTATTACAATGATATAACGTTGAATAATTTAGGTAAGTGTAGGCTTATCTATTAATATCAGATTCGTATGTTATACTGCTTAAGCATTGGCATGTCAATATAACATGAATAATAATATTATGCAAGATTTTAATATTTTTTTATACCACTGAGGTAGAAAACACTTACTTGAGGTAGAAAGCACTTGATGGTAAGCGATTGCCGTACTTTAACGACTTTTTTGAACCGCTTTTTTTAAAAAAACTCTATGCTGTAATCTCTTGGGAAAACCTCCACAAGAAGCTTATTATAGATACTTGAATAAATTATGTAAGTAAGAATAATCAAAAAGACAATACTTTTACAAGTTATAATTTTTTCCGGCAGTATTAATATTTAGAGCATAAGAAACAGTTAATAATAATTACATTTTTACTAACTGCGGTTACCAAACCACCTGCCAAGTGTGGCAACTACTGGCAAAACCCCCAAAGGGGAAGCTTATGTTCAGCAGTGGACAGTTAAAGTCTGATATGAATGAAAAAAAAATCTATTTAATTTTATTAAAAAGTAATTGGGAACTTTTTGTTTATTATAATATTAAGAAATAATAACATTCTTATCCATTTTTGTCAGGTTTAATAAGCAGTTTAAAGCAACAAATGGAAGACATGCAGAAGACAAAAGAACGAGCCGAAAAAATAGCCAGAGACGCAGTTGCAGAAACGAAGAGTTTGCGGGAGCCTCTTGAAGCCGCTATTGTAGATAATAAGGAGTTGAAACGACAGATGTCTAATTACGATAGAGATAAAGCATCTCTAGCTGTATGTAGTCGATCAAATATTAGTGGATTCTTATTATTAGCTTGTGTATATGTGCATAGAATAGGTCTCTCCTTCCTTTTCCGTGGGTGTCGTAAGAGGCAACTAAGGGAGTTTATGGCTTAGAATAAGCTGCAGCGTCTCTCTTAAAATGTCGTCAAAGACCAAAGACCAAACTGCGGTTGCTATTCAGCCTACCAAGTGTGACAACTACTGGAAAAACCTCCGTTATGGGAGAGGCTATGTTCAGCAGTGAACAGTTAACGGCTGATCGACAATCTATATGTAACCAGAAATGCATTTAAATAATATGTTTTTTACTATAACAGGCAAAAACCAAGCAACTGGCGTCTCTTGAGAAGCAATTTGAAGTTTTAAAATGGGAGTACGAAGTGTTACAAGTTCGGTTCGACAGGGTCATGGCAGAGAGAGACGAATTGAAGACGAGGTTCTCCAGGGCCGTGTTGGAGGTGCAGCAAAGGGCATCGCTGAAGACAGCGCTGTTGGAGGTCAAATTGAAGAACTTAGAAGGCAGAAATATGGGACCGAAGGAAATACACGTGCGTAACTTCTTATATGTAAAAAACAAACTTTTTTTTTATACAACTTAGAATGGCAAACAAGCTGACGGCCCACCTGATGGAAAGTGGTAACCGTCGCCTATAGACATGAGCAGTACCATGGACATAACAGAGTATACTGTTTCGCTCATAATATCCCCCATGCGTTGCCATTCCTAAGGACTCAGGTGTTATTCCTATGTACCCAGTAAATTCTCGCCATATCCAACCCTTCAAACCGAAACACAGCCATGCAAACACAATAGCTTCACGGTTGAAACACGAATGGGACAGAGATACCCAAGCAATCGACTTTTGTACAAAGTCTCCCTATGGTATTTACCTATAAAAGCGCATTATAGTTGCATTTTTGTCCATGGAGTTATAATATTTATTTAATAATACTAGGAATTGCTGAAACTAAAAGACACACAAGTTGAAGACCTCAGGTACGAAGCGGCTCGACTGAGGAAAGCGCATGATGATCTATTGGCTACTTACGAAGCAAAACTTGCGAAGCTCGGAGTGCCCGTTGAAGAGCTCGGTTTCAAGTAAGTCCTAAATTATTCCTGATCGCCGTATATCAAATAATTGATCAAAGGTCAACAATAATCTGGTATTGGAAGCATTCATGAGCTATGGAGGTCTTTTATCATCGCATGGACTACCAATTATCATCTTTGTTGTACTATAAGTAAAATTACACTGAAAAACAATCGTTAAAATTGATTCAGAATTAGACGTACACTTAAGTCTCATTTTCAAAAATAATTAAAATAATTAAATACCGCCATCTATGAAAATATAGTAGTATTATTTTTATATTAAAAAATGTATGGTGTATTTCTTAGGCACACTGCCATCTATATGAAAAATTGAATACTATTAGTTTCATGTATTAATTGAAGTTCCACAAGTAATTTATAGATGGCGGTATTTAGAAATTGATATTAAAAAGTGAATTAAAAATAAACAAATTAAATAGATACCTATGTTGCCTAATTAATAATGTGTACTTTTTATTTTCAAGCATCAGTTGAATTTAAAAATTAATACTGCAGGAAACTATCGGTCGCGAAAAGGAATTATCAAAATTTTTTCATTTTTACCGAAGATATCGGACACATACCTACATAAAAAAAAAAATACAAGCGTATGAAGAGTCTTCTCTTTTTCCTTTTGCTTAAAAAGTCCAAATGTGATTAAATTGTATGTCTATCTTGAATTCATTATTTATCAGAAGGACATTTTGCGTAAAGCAGTCTACATGGGTGCCTTTGCCTCATTTATTTCTGCCTCGAAACAAAAATAGATGCGCGATATATTTTTGTTTCAAGCGTATAAATAATAAATACCTATACGTACTTAAATATAGCTTTACTACTATTTTAGTACTAAACCTATATTTTAGTACTTTTTTTGCTGTGGTAAATTCACTGTTTACCTAAATGCTCACGTCAATACTAGTGGTGAATAATATATAGTAATGGAGGGAAAGGGATTGTTAGTAATGGAGACTGAGAATCCCATTGCTAGCAATATACCCAACCAGGTCGACCTCCTAGCGGTTCCCCCTGGAAACTATCATGGTTAATTCCTGATGAATTCATCATGATGGGCTAACTGGCCTGTTTTCATTCTCATCTATCACCCTTCACTAGTGCTTCGCCAGCGTATCCCGTTAGCGCAGGCGGGGTTACCATAGGTACCATATTGCTAGCATATACCATATTGCTAGCAATGAGATAATCAGTCTCCATTATTAATAATCCCTTCCCCCCGCCTAATTTATAACTAGTACAATATATCTTTTCCAGGCCATTGAAAGCTGTGGCAGTGGCTGGACTGTCGCCGGTCCTTGGACAAGGACCTGCAGGCCTGGTCACCAAGGATCAATAAAATACATCCATTTCTGTCACTTCGAATCATGATATGAATATTTTCTAAAAAAAAAAAAAACGTAATTTTGAAATCAGAATTAACTGTCCTTTTTATAGTATCCAGAACCATGTTACTTTGAACAAAAAAAAAAAAAAAACGTTTAATCGAAATCGTGCATACATTTCACTTGAAATATTTTTCTTTATTTTTGTTCAGTTCATTTAATTTTAAACTATTACACTATAAAATAGCTAGGTCTTTTATAATATCTATCAATATTGATATTTTGGACAAAGAATTTAATAAAAATCTATAATTATTTATAAAATTTAATATTATTATTATTTTAGCCCTTAACTATCCATGCTACTCTATATAAATAAGCCTTTTCCATAAGGGAAGATTTGCCAGTAGTTGCGAGGCAGTAGTATCTATATTTACAATATGGATATTATTTTATTGTGTTGGTACTTCTTAGTGGTCGCATAGATACAGTTTCCAATATCGTCAATGTGAATGCTGTGCCGACTCAACATAGTGTTTATTTACACTGTAATAAGAAACAGAACAAAAAAGAAGAAAACCGTGTAATTACCATAATATTATTTTAAATTAATTTTTTTTTTAATATTTTTCAATATTTTAAAACGGTACGTATCATGTAATTCTATCATCAAATTTATGTTTTGTTCTATTCCAAAATTTTGGAAAACATTTAATGGTAGGCCCTTTAGTGTCTAAAGTGTCTAAAAATCTTGATATACGAGTACCATCAACTTAGATTACATAGAGTGTCTCCATACAAATGCTTCGAGAAAAGCGGCTCAACTTTTTCATACAATTTTGCGTGATAAATAGTTGTGAGTGATTCCTTTGTAACTTCTATATTTATTTTGTTTTATAATTTTTGCATCTCTTTTAATGCGCATATACTCACTTTATTTATTAAATAATTATATATATTTTTTTATACAACTTAGAATGGTAAACAAGCTGACGGCCCACCTGATGGAAAGTGGTAACCGTCGCCTATAGACATGAGCAGTACCATGGACATAACACAGTATACTGTTTCGCCCATGATACCCCCCATGCGTTGCCATTCCTGAGGACTCAGGTGTTATTCCTCTGTACCCTGTAAATTCACGCCATATCCCACCCTTCAAACTGAAACACAGCCATGCAAACACAACTGCTTCACGGTAGAAACACGAACGGGACAGAGGTACCCAAGCAATCGACTTTCGTACAAAGTCTCCCTCTGGTATATACAAATACGTCAAGATATATTGTGTGCGGAAGTATATAAAACATTAATATAAAAACGAGTTAGCTAATATGAGAATTAGCTGACAAAAAGTCGACCCGTTTTTTTAGACTCGATGCTCTATCTATATAATCTAGGCCATTAATAAGTGGCCTATTTTATTTGTTCCTCTTCTGAAACCACGCGAACGAAGCAGCAGGCAAAAAACTAGTGACTGTACAAAATACAAAATTATCATTTTAAATTAATGTAACAAGTATACGTCAGGTTTAGGGTTTTTTTTTTAATGGGTGATAATGGAATGGTTACCCCGCCTGTGCTATCGGTATACACTAGCGAGGTACCAGTGATGGATGATAAATGAAGATGGAGCAGGTCAGTTAGCCCATCGTGACGAATTCAACAAGAATTGTTCACGATGGTTTCCAGGGGGAACCACGTGCAGGTCGACCTAATAGGGCATATTGCTAGCAACGGGACTGTCAAACTCCATTGCTAACAATCCCTCTCCCCCCAAGGTTTCGGGGTTATTAAAGGGAACTTTACAGTTCCATGAATAATTTTTGATTCGACATCTAAACTATTTATAGAATCAATTGATCGATTCAAGGCCACGATAGATTACTGAATTGTCGAATATTAGGCAAGTGGGACAATTCGTGCTTCGAGGATATATATATATATATATATATATATAGACTCTTTGATGGTAAACGGTCATTGTAGCCTATCACTAGGCTATAATGACCACACAACAACACTAGGGATATTATATACACGTTGCCGACCCTGAAGGAACCTTAATATAACCTTTTCGAAGAACCCCATACTAAACAAAATTTGGACTTTTCTATTAGGGATATTGCAAAACAGAATGCTACTGCTACTATTAATCAGATTATAGTGGCGCCCTCTGATGGCTAATATTTCGTCTTTAGTAAAGTCTCTTTCGTGTAGGTACAGGGCTATAAGATGAAGGACATGCGTTTTCTGTAGCACAACGCAAGTAAGTGACAGTATTTATTTTTTATGTAACTTAGAATGACAAACTGCTTACCTCTTAAGGGACTATGCGTGAAGATAGAAAGAATGGCAAATAATGTTACGATGGAAAGTAGCAACCGTTGTCTACAATGGAATGGAATATATATATATATATATATATATATATATATATATATATATATATATATATATATATATATATATATATATATATATATATATATATATATATATATATATATATATATATATATTTGTTTACTACCGCTACGATATAAAAAAATATTAGACTCTTTTCTCTGTTAAATAAAAAAAAAATCAATTTAAAAAATTGGAAACTAAACGTAAGTAATGAAGTAACGGACACCGGCCGAATCTGAAATCCCAAAATCGATCTACTCATACAAAATTGATGGATAGGAAAGGTCAACCTCACATGAATAAATGAAACCACAATTCGAAGCCAATAAGTGTATTTTATTCCTACTAACTTTTTTATTTATTTTTATGTACAAAACAGTCATAAGGCAACAGTTCGAAATGAAAACGCATTACAACGATCACTGAATTGTTATAAACATTTCGCATTGTTAGTTCATAGCATGAAACTGCGGTACATTTTAATATTAAGCCTGTTACACACGTGGTGAATTGTAAACAATACATAATTCATATGAACAGTACACAATTATTATAAACGGAATACATAAATAATATAAATGTAATACACAACTAATATGTACGTATTATATTTATGTTAGTTATGTTTATATTAATTAATAGATATAATCACAATTGTCTTTGTAAATATTAATAACCATTAGACTTTAAATTGTGATAGTAATATAAAATTAACATTATAAGTTCATGGCCGTGAGAACAGATAAGCTTAAAGATGTATATTATGTACATTTTAAGAATGGTGAAAAATGTGAAATGACAATAATTATGTATGATTGCTACAAGTGGAGTAAGACAGGTAGAGATAGATTAAATGGGCGGATTAAATACCTCACGCTTTTCGGTACTACATTTTTTCCATGAAACGCATATATCGGTTGTTATAACTACATCTACAATTGATAAACCAAGAATGTATTTAGTTATATTGAGCGTTTTATAGGCACCTAATTCAATTTTTGAAGATTGAATTTCGAATTATCTATAGATAGGTTTAAAGTAAAAAATTAAAGTACTTACACTTTAATTTTGATATTGCAGTTATTCAAAGGCATGTACTTATAATAATACACCAATTTCCCAATTTATATTCAATTATGTGTATGTGTATTGCACGTGTGTAACCGGAACAAATCCTTAATAAAGGTTATCATTCTTACCACTAAACCATTTACAAATACGCGTGTAAATTTAAAATCATAGCTTCGAGACAAAGGTTACACCTTCAATGGATTTACAATACGAACTTCTTGATTTAGTGGCATTTTGATGATGCCTTATAAAAATATTAACCAATTCGTTTTTACAATGAATTTTTTATCTACAACTTTTCCAAGATCATAAACTACTATGAAATTGCTCAATCAGGTCTAGTTTAAGTTGATGTTCTAATTAAAAAAGCGAAACGTTATACTTATACAAATAACTTTGTAACAAAATTACATTGCTAAATCGTCAATTTCAGTTCATTTGTGTTACTTTATTTATAAATTTTGATATTAATTAAAAATTATATATAATAAGTAGCACGATCAATAACTTTGACGCTATTTATAAATATATAATATATTTTATAACAATAAATATCAAATAAATTATTCATAAACGTCAATATATTATAATGATCTTTTTTTTATGTTTCGTCTTTGTAAGTGGCCATAACATAGACCGATACTGTATTTCTAACATATTGATAATCGATTTTTACATACCCATTATTTAGTCCTCTTTTCATATTTCCAGTTTAGTCCAGACATAGGTATATAGGCTGAAATCTAAATCATTACTATCCTAAGAAGTTTCACTCAAAGATGTATATGATTAATAAACGAGAAAAATTGAGAACCTCCAATACGACGTATTTATCGGTTGTTCTGGGAGGTTTCCGAATTTTCTCTTATTTTTCAACTCCTCGCAGAAAATGTTCAGTTTTACTGATAAATCACTATCTTAAAAGGATACTAATGACTTTAGTTTCACTCTGTATAAATTTAATCACAGATTATTCTCCCTTTTAATTTTGTTTAATAATATTAACATGTAGCAATTAGCAGAAAATCGTTTTTTTTTCTACTAATTATATTTAAGGGATGTTTATTCGTAATAATGCTGTTTCGCTCTTTGCTATTTTTAATTTAAGTATAAGAAACGAATATTTCTCCTCACTCTGTACTACTTGTTTTCAATGCCTATCAATCCAAAGAAAAAATTACAATATACCAGTGAAATTGCATTTTTTTAAATTAAGTAATGCATTTTCCATTTCTTTTTTCTTAATGTGCTTCTTAATTTTTTCAATTATTTCCCCTTTATTTTATAATAATATTTTTCTGTTGTAGAATTCTTTATTTATTTATATTTATTTAGTTCTTTTTTCATCACTATCAATATATTATATTATATAAGTATGTATTATAAGTATTACCAGTGTTAATTAGAACATGGGCGTGGGTAATAGAACATTTGGCATTTATTACATTATTGAATTTGAAATGTTGTAATGGTCTTATTTCAGATTTTAAATCTACGACCGTACTTGTTTCACACACGAAAAATGAAATCTAACTAATTTTTATTATTATTTAATGAATATAATAATATTGAGTGCGGCATCAATATTATAAGCGTTATAATTACAACATATTTATCGCAGCGACATTTCTGAGAATGATTTTTATTACACTAAAAATCTAATTTACACAACCAAAATTCAGACGTTTACTGGGATAAAGAAAAATTTCAGTTAACATCTAGAAAAAATAATTTGACATTAAATTACGATGATATATTAATGAATTGCTTTTTCACTTAACACTAAAGCTATTATAGATATTTTTGAATTAATTATCCTAATTAATCGTTTGAATAGTTACGATAAATTCAACACTAAATAGTGTATTTGTGAAAATAATATTAGTATTATTAAAATACAAATTATGGTTTAAATAAATAATACACAAATAATAATACTGTAAATCTCCCATTCCGACTCGACAAAATAAATAATAAAAGTTATATCTAAAAGCACATCAAACATCAAAATAAAATTAAAACTTAGGACAACACTATTGAGAAGTTTTTTGTGTACTGTGTTATATTTAGTGTGTATTAGTGTTGTTGTATTGTTACTTGTTTATTAATAAATCGGAATAATTTATACATTAGTGATTATTATATTTTTGTTTTATTTTATACACGTGTACTCACAATTATAACGGTATCATCACATGTAATATTCATATTTATACTTCTTGCGGTATTATGTCTCATAACTGTTTTACCTTATAATTCAAATATTAAATTAATGGATTTTTTGATGTCGCACAAAACCTACCCATATTAAAAAATGGTTCCAGTTTTTCTATATATCTACTACCTTGCATTTGTTTGTTTATTTTAAAAACTCTCGATTCTATCTTCCTACATTAATAATCGACGTCATACTGTATATACGACACCATATTATATAATTTCTTTATAATGATGTATAATATAAAAAGAATACTTCTGGTTGTATGTATGCATATATTTTTGTAAAATAATTGTTTTTATTTTGACACAGATACTAATATAACTGTGTGATTAGAAATTAAAGAAGAAAACTGAGACAAAACGACAGTTTATCATAAAAGTGATATTTTTCTCCCTTTTCACATACTTCGTTAATGTTGATTACCACAATGTAATGTAATGTTCATTATATACAATTTAAAATTCATATCTACAAACGAATAATAAAAAACAATGATTGGGCTTGCATTTTTTTCCTTAAATAACTATAATTTTTGTTTTTAATTTTAATTCTAATTATGTGCGTAGATTTTAGCAATATCTAGCTAAATGTTAAACTCACAGTCTAAGAGGTTATTAAATATTTTAGTATTTTTTTTCTCTTTGACAATAATAATTTCTTTAGTAATATAAATAAACGTAAATATTTATTTGTAACGAAATCAAATAATTATAATAAGAGTTATTTTGAAATATTTGTTCAATTTACCAATTAAGTATGTACAAAACTTGAAACTTATATCAATTGTCCTAAGTTCAAATAAACCAAATTAGCAAAATTAAATCAAACAATAATGTCTGTACAATTTTAAGTAATACGGCACCGCTAATAATATTAATCTAGCATTTATGCAATATTCACAAGCCTTTAAAATCTGCAATTACCTTTATAAAAAGAAAAAAATAACAACCATAAACACACATACTTTTTTATAAGCAAATAACAGTTATCTTTTAGTCAGCACTCACACGGGATACAAGCGATTCTATTTTTAAAAATCACAATTGAAAATTTCGAATTTCGAAATATATTCGAAACATGTGTTGTAAAATTATTGATTAGGCAATTTTCTATTTTGGTACATCGGTTCGGATCGGTATGGACAACAACTATCAATGAATTTTTAAATAGTTCAGGCATGGGACGGAAGAATCGATACCGCCTACAACGGTATGGTAAGGTGTAAATATATACGCGTTTCCAACAATTTCACACAATTGCCTTTTGATTAGTTTTGCCTTACTTGCGAGTCATATCATTGGGCGGTTTCGAACACTAAAATAAGGTTTGTGGTCATCCAAATAAAAATGGATCTTCTTACTAATTATTTACGTCGTTCTATCAATTGATTATCTACTTCTAAACATATATTGTGAAATTTATGATGTCAATAATGTGGAACATAATTTCTTGATTATTATATATGTATCCAGTAGTGATACAAAAAAATAATTGTAATATCCATTTTGATTTAGATCATCACAACAAATCTTTTAAATTGTGACTATTACATATATATTTTATTAAAAGTTATACATTATTTTAAGCCTTATATAATAAGTGAACAGAAAGTAGTTACAATTCTGCGGTTTCATGAGTTTTTGTATAGGAAAAATAGTGCCCAATGGATGTAATAACAATGACAAAATATACATAGGTATTGCTTTGCAATTGTGTATAAAAAAATTAAAGCACACTAATTTTAGGCTTAGTCTAAAAATGCTGAAGAATGTAATGTTTATATGTGTGAATATTTTATTAATAAAAAATAAATAAACTTATTAATCTAAAACTAAAATTATATTAATTACTAGTATTAATTAATTTCACTGACCATAATTTACATTGTAAAATAATAAATTAAAGATTTAATCAGCACATTAAATATTATAATCATATGAATAATAATAATATTTCTCTCTAAATTTTAGAATTCTATTTCGACTATGACTCCTCAAAATCAACAATTTATAAATTATCATTTTTCATTTATTTATTGCGAACAACTTATTATATTATGTAGTATTTTTATACATGTATTTTTTTGTATAATATATATCTGTATATATATGTATTATAGATGTATTTTAATATATTTTAACAGCACGCGTGCAGTTTGACACACATTAGCATACGAGCATAAAATCTTAAATAAGTTGTATTCTCTATTGAAGATAAAATTCTTTAATTTCTAATATAATTTATTTAATCGTGATAATAATTTACTTTTGATAATTCACTCCAATTTGAGCAATATAAGTAATATGCCATACAAATTTATGACATAATAGTGTAACGTTAAAAATATAACAATATATTCATTACATAATAAATTGATAAATAATAATAAATACGTAATTTAAATTTAAGTAATTAATTTATATAAATGGTTAATTTTTATTATTTGTGAATATATTAAAGAGATGCCTATATTTTTAATATATTTACAAATAATATAAATTAATTATTAATATAATAATAAATTATAATTAAAGTATCGAATATATTATTGTTACATTATGTCGACCCACATTAGATTATTACTTGACACAAAATTATTATCACGATTATTTTTAATACATATAATTTTTATTTCACAACGCGTTATAAAAAATTTCTTTCGCCCATTCCCGTCATTTTCCGAACGTTCTTTAAGCTATTCCCTTTATATGTCTATACTCCTATAGGAGTGTGTGAGATTTACAAATTGTTTGTACAAAATCACATATCGACCACATAATATAATTCTGCCTATATTGTTTCTTTCTCATAGAAATTCACCATAACTCGTGGTGCACTCTGTAACCGTAACCTTCAGTTAACTTCAGAGCCCTTCAGGAATCCTGTCATCTGAAAAAGAAAAATAATTAAGTTTATTTTTGATTGTATCTATGAATTAAAACCATATTACATTTATTATACTATTTTATAATTATCAATAAATGAAAATTATTGATAATTATAAAATATTTATTATAAAATATCTTTAAATAATACTTAATAATGTTGTAAATCTAAATTTCAAAGTGGACATTTTTATAATAATTATTCTTTTAATAATACATTTTCAGTCTCGTCAAATGTTTTCAATTTTAAAACATACGTACAAAGTTGAAAAGTTTAACCTACCTACAGCTCAACTGTTTGGATTCAAACACACATCTCCCAGCTATCCGGATTTAGCTTATCCCAGTCACAACAGGAAAAGAAAAAAATACCATCAAATAATTAACTATTAACGGCAGAGGGCGTGTTCATCATAATTCTTTCATGACGTTTAAAAGAGGTTGAAACATTTACCTTCTGTTCAGGCGCATCACTAATCGGTCACGATCGACTCCCATGTCTAATTAGGTAACCATATTGTGTTTTAAGGAGCAAAAATTCTCTATTTCGATTATCTAATTTAATGTAAAATTCATTTATACAAATATTGGAGTCAGGTCAACGTTATATTAAATCAAGAACCAATATACATGCTAAGCTAGAAAATGGAATACGTTGGAGTCACTATTTGATGCCTAGTGATGCGTCTGTACACCTCCTAATAACATTCTTTCCTCAATTGTTAACACACTATATCTAGATAGCTCATAGATGCAGATTCGAATCCTATCGAATTAAACTGTAGGAAATACTCCACTCAAACCAAAAAAGTCATGCGAGTATAGGCAAAAATAAAAAAAATCATGACTGCTAAAGTCACTTACTCATGCAAATTATTTTTAATAAAGTCATCCTTGTCATAAGTATATTTTTAGTACAATAGATTTCTAAATAAAACCTTGAAAATATTCAATCGAAGTTACCAATGAATGGCTAATGTAATGACGAAATAATCAAATTAGTTAACTTGCAATAACAAAGCTAGTATTACGTATATTCAAAATAATATAATTCTTGATTTAAAAATAATAATTATAGCATTGAATATAGCGTTTATATTATTATTAGACTTAATAAATAAAAAAAATACTGATAGCTCTCCTCATTCTACGCCGTTATTGGTAATGTACTTAGATACGGCAGATATAAACTACGAATTCGAGTTTACATAACAAACAGATATAGAATTAGCTTCATAAAATTAAATTCAAAACGATCTAACATATCATGTACAATATCAAAATTAGTTCTCGTAAAACCAACTTTAATTTTGCGTAACTTTTATAATTATGCCACAAAATTGAAATAAAGCAATACATAAAAAGTAGAATCAATACACAGAAAACATAATATGTTTTCTATGTATTGATTTTATATTATAATGAATATTCAAATATTTATTTTGTTGTCTGATAAGAAATGATAGCAAAAAACTGATGATATTTTAAGCTTACTAGAATATAAAGAATTCATCATCGTAATCATAACATTATGTCAGTGCGTGAAAAATATGAAAAAAACGCGTGTCTGCAAAATTGAACTGTATGATCAAAGGAATAAGAAAGCTAAAGCCTTGAGACGTACCTCTATTGTGTATTTATTGTTGTTAAGTTTCAGGTTAGGCGTTCACGAAGGATGACTTGGTCCTGTGGCATGAGATAATAATTGTATGAGACTTTGAAACGGCTAAGTGAAGTAATACCCTAATTTTGTCTTTGCATAGATTAATATAGTATGCAGGATAGATTTGATGTAGTATTATTTACAGATGACACTTTTTTGATATTCAAAGTGGATAAAGCGACTTAGTATTATGACGAAGTGAATAATGCTATGTATCTCTTGAATTTGTTTTGTATTAAAAATCTCGTGTTAAATGCTTAAGAAAAAGGAAAAATGTATAAATTTCTCACTATCTAAGTATCTCGGATGTAATTCTATAATTAAAACAAATAAAAAAATTAAAAAACGTTACTTGTTGACTTTGTCGATTCTAGTGTCTTTTTTTTCAGGATTACTTTTTTATTTTATTCACTATTTAGTCTGCTCGAATATCGGATAATATTGCCTGTCTGAACATCAGCGAAATATACACAATTTCTTATTTATATAATAATAAATTAAAGCTAAAAAGTTTGTTTGTTTGAAAGTACTAATCTCTGGAATTACCAGGCTGATTAGAAAAATTTTTCTTCCATTTTTTTATTAAATTGATTAAGCTATTCACGAGGAAGAATATATCAATGTCATAATACGACCACAGGCAAAGCTGGGGGATACAGCTAGTGCACATATAAAGTCTATGGTCTTTCAAATTGTATACTTGTAACGGTTCGTTATATGTGTAAAAATACATTTAACGCCATCTTGCGGAGAGGTGTTGAACTTGCAAGAAATTTAAATAATAAATTAATATTTTGATGTTTACAGAAAAATACAAAGCTAGGAAACGATCTAACAAAATTAATACTATATGAATGTCAATTTAATATTAATGTATGATGTTTGATATTGATGCATTGTTAAATCGATGTTCAAAATGGCTACGGTAACCACTTGCCATCAGGTGGGCTGTGTGCTTGTTTGCCACCTCAGTGGTATAAAAAACATTGTACGTCATAATGGATCTGAATAAATAAAACTACTATTTTCATATGAAACTCATATATGTTACAAAATTTATAAATTATAATATTTAATAAATTTTGAGTAGGATTTAGTGAACTTATAGGCATACAATAAGGACTTAACATTAATTATTTCTCTGTCAAATTTTACAGAAGAGTAAGAAGTTGGAAACATATTCTACATTTTTACGTGAAGAGAGCGCTTTGCGGTATATAAATTAATAGAAATTCATACTTTACCATTACATATTTAAGGTTGCTTTTAAAATAAGTATACTATATTTTTTTCGTGTAATTTTCATAATAAGTACCTATAAGTGAAAAGGGTTTAACTGCCAGCCATTAAAAAGGTAATTGACTGTCGATATAAAGGTAAAAGGGTTTTTTTACTAACAAGGAAGTAAATATTCAATTATACGGGAAATGTCAAATGCCACTTGATGATTATTGATTCTATGTAACACGTCTACAACCAAGGACAGTGACCTTGGATGGCTAAAAAATAGGAACAGTAGTCCGATTCGTATAAAAACAATTCGTTTATAACATCTGTGAAGGGTTCGTTGGATAGAACAATAAAATAGAAAATACTGAATAAAGATATATTAATTTTTTCCCCTAGTACAATAATAGTGATATTTAAAAATGACGTTCTCTAATAACAAAAAATTCAATGACAGAAAAAGAAAATAAATAAATTCTATTTTTGAAAGTAACATAAATAAAACCTCAACAACAACGTTGAGGTTAGGAAATTATTTTGTTGGCACTATGATATATGTTTAGTGACCAAACGACGGCCTATCTACAGCCTAGATGGTCACATGTACAATGCAGTTTCAGAGATATTTTCTCCCACGTACACTCAGGTTGTGGAATGAGCCACCTGCCGAGGTTTTCCCAAGAGACTACAGCGTGGGGTTCTTCAAAAGGGGGGTAAAGAGGTTTTTCATTGCCGGCAACGCGCGCGTAATACCCCTGGTATTACAAGGGCCTCCCCCTTATTATGTCCAGCAGTGGACAGTTAAAGATTGATTTCATGATATAATCACAGATACAAAATACTTTTAATAATTACATAGAAAAAAAATACCTACATTACACTTCATGGAGAAAATTAGCTGGAGGGATCGAATTAGCAATGAGGAGGTCCTGCTTAGGGTTAAGGAAAAACGACAAATTATTAAAACTATTGAGGACAGAAGGGGAAAAATGTTAGGACACTTGATACGACACGACGAACTTATGAACATTATAATAGAAGGTAAGATAGAAGGAAGAAGGGGGAGAGGGAGACCGAGACATAGTTACATCAGGCAGATCAAGGAAGGAGTTGGTGTCGTGTCGTATCAAGAGGTGAAGAGACTCGCTGAAAATCGTAGTGAGTGGCAAGAGCTCCACCGACAAGAGCGCAGCTCTTAAATGGATAGATAGATAGATAGATACTTCAAAGTACCTAAGAGTTTTCCGTACCGAAATATCTAAAGGGGCATTACAACTTCATATAATACTTCACAGTGACACGGACATCAGTACAAATAGATATCGCAACTTTTTATTTATCTTTCTATATTAAATTTTTGTTCTATAAATAAAAGATATTGTCTTACAAAAACCGAGATTAACTTTGACCAAATTATTATAGGATCTATACGAAATAACTCCGATCAAATATCATCTATATGTTGAAGATTTAAAATTACAGTATAAATAGGTACTGTCTAGTAACTTTAACCATTTTGATTTCTTTTTTTTTTTAATATTAATTCAAATGGTGATATTTGTAATTGTAACGTTATTTACTCTATTTCTAGTCATATCGTCTTTCATACAATCCATACATCTCTTTGTGGGTCTTCTTCTACTCTTGTAACCATCCACATTCATACGTAATACTTTTTTACCATATACTCTACGTATCACATACCCTTACTATTATCACTGTACTGTATACCAGAGGGAGACTTTGTACAAAAGTCGATTGCTTGGGTACCTCTGTCCCATTCGTGTTTCAACCGTGAAGCAGTTGTGTTTGCATGGCTGTGTTTCGGTTTGAAGGGTGGGATATGGCGTGAATTTACTGGATACAGAGGAATAACACCTGAGTTCTCAGGAATGGCAACGCGTGGGGGGTATCATGGGCGAAACAGTATTCTCTGTTATGTCCATGGTACTGCTCATGTCTATAGGCGACGGTTACCACTTTCCATCAGGTGGGCCGTCAGCTTGTTTGCCATTCTAAGTAGTATAAAAAAAACCCGTGACTTTGTCCGCGTGACTGGGATATGTTTACTAACCGGGATAAAATGTAGCCAATATCCTTCCCTATCCCATACAGTACGTGTATATCAAATTTCATAGATAGATAGATACTCTTTATTGTTTCCTCCAAAAGATTACAATAGTAAACTTATTATAAATATAAATAAATAAAAGAAATAATCACAATGAAAAAACAATAGGAGACTTTATCGCTAAGAGCGATCTCTTCTAACCGTCGCCTATAGACATGAGCAGAACCATGGACATAACAGTACACATACATACAGTTTCGCCCATGATACCCCCATGCGTTGCCATTCCTGAGAACTCAGATGTTATTTCTCTGTACCCTGTAAATCTATGCCATACCCCACCCTTCAAAAAGAATACGCTCTTTTCTTAAAGGTTACAATGTCGTATCGGTTCGGAAATACTGCTGCTGAAAGTTGATTCCAAAGATTGGTTGTGCGTGGAAGATATTGCCTTGAAAAACTTTTTTTGCAGGAAAATAGTACCTACATGTATACCTGCTTCTTTATAGCCGACGTTAAGGAACGCAAAAGTTTCAAAATTAACTAATCAATCTGTTCTGTGAAGCGTCGAAAACTTTTATTAAATACCGACTTTTTTATTATTTTTTTTAATCCACAAAGGTGGCAAATAAGCATACAGCCCGTCTGATGGTAAACGATCACTGTAGCTCATAGACGCCTGCAATACGAATACTAGGAGTGTCACGTGCTCGTTGCCGACCCTGAAGAAACCTTAATAAACCCTTTTTGAAGAACCCCATACTGTAGTCTCTAGGGAAAACCTCGGCAGGGAGCTCATTTGACAGTCTGAGCATTCGTGGGAGAAAATGTCTCTGGAACCGCACTGTATGTGGTCATTTGGGTTCAAGCGTGTGAAGCTGAATTCTATGTCGATGACGACATAAATAATAAATAAATAAATAACATTGACATTGAAATAAAACTAAATTATTTTTATTAATTGTTTTTTTAACATAATACTATGATATTATTATTGTTAACCGAATGAACAATTGGCATAATCTGTACTTCTAATAAATCTGTAGAGAGGTGAATTCTGTACATGAAATATATTTCCAAAATAACTATCAGGGGGTGATTAGTGATCGATACTGATGCCAAAAATGCAATCAGTAAAATTTTTGTCTGTCTGTCTGTATGTATGTTCGTTATAGAAACAAAAACTACTCGACGAATTTTAACGAAACTTGGTACAATTATTCTTCATACACCTGGGCAGGTTATAGTATACTTTTCATCACGCTACGATCAATAGGAGCAGAGCAGTGAAGGGAAATATGTCTGTTACATCAAAACCATTAAACCGTGAGGAAGGACATAGGCTATTTATTTTACGAAAAATGACGGAAACGCGGACGAAGTCGCGGGGAAAAGCTAGTGTTGAAATAGTTAAGTATTATAACTTGTACCAACACATCAGTGAATTTACATGCTTTACTATGAGGCGAACATTTGTACTTCACAACAAATCAAGATCTGTAAAAACAATGTTCTGGCAAATAAACCTATCTATCTATTTAAAGGAAGCACTATTATTTTGTACAATCCGGGATAATTGTGCATCCACATAAAGACATTCGTCTATCCAAGGTTATTTTTCATAGTAAATTCACTCCATATCCCACACTTCAAACCGAAACACAGCCATGCAAATACAACTGCTACACGGTTGAAACACGAGTGGGACAGAGATATCCAAGCAATCGACTTTTGTACAAAGTCTCCCTCTGGTGAGACTTTGTACAAAAGTCAAATGGCTTCCACATTCCCCATTTTCCATAATATTATGGAAATTTTTTGGTACCCTGTCAGGTCGAGCTCCGTGTGGTCCTCCTTGGAAACCTTCGTAGTTAATTCCTGTCGAATTCATCACGATAGGTCAACTGACCAGATATCATCGTCATCTATCATCAATCATTGGGGCCTCACCTGCGTATATCGTTAGCGTTAGCGAGGCTGCCATTCCATTTTCATTCCATTAAAATAATGCCTCTGACTATGACCCAATATTTATTCGTAAGCATATTGATCTAATTTTGCAGACATTTCGAATATTACTATTTACCTCTATAAGAGCAGTATTCAACAAAGCGTATAAATGTCCTACATTTAGTTTTATTCTGTGACTACCTTTTTCCCTGCTACTTCTTACGCATACATACATATCTGTCACGCCTGTCTCCCATTAGGGTAGGCAGAAACAATGGAACGCCAAATGCTTCGATTCAAACAAACCTCTTTCGCTTCTTCCACATTCATCAATCTTTTCATACACGCTCGCCGGTTAGAGGTATTTTTAATTTGGCCCTCCTTCAGCACGTCGCCTATTTGGTCAACATACGTCCGTCTAGGGTGGCCCCTACCTACTTCCATTCATTCTTGCTCGATAAGTCTCTTTCGTAATTCTCCTTTCATCCATCCTCTCCAAATGACCAAACCAACGCAACATTCCGCATGTATTTCAAACGACGGACTTCCAATGAAAGAAACTACTTCTGTATAGATAGTAAAGTAAACCTTCAGAACTTTTTAAATACACTACTTGCAAAAATCAAGGGATATTAAAAACATTCCAAATTTTTTTTGATGATTTTCAACAAAGAATAACTCAAATAGAAATGGTCGTATAGAAAATCTAAAAAAGTAAATTGTTACAATTCAGAGTGCCTAGTTTTTAAATATATAAACATTTAATTATTAACAATTAATTTTTTAACGTAACGGCAATTCTCAAGTAATTATTCGAAAATCAATGAAACAAAATTTTTGCAAATTTTTGCTGGTCTTTAAAATAATCTGAGGGTCTATGTATTTATCTATTAAAAGAAATTATGAAAAAAAAAACATTATTAGACCAAATGAATCTTTTAGAAAAATTTAATAAACTTTTATTTGAGCTTTAGATGAGCTCTGTATAATGATTTGGTGCAAAGTTATCGTTGATCAAAGCAAAAAATTTATTTTAAATTTGACAATCAATTAATCAATTACTTATATCGTCATAGTCGTAGAATACTGACGGATCTGTTTTTTTTTTCAATACTAATAATCTTTATTTATATGTAATCTTTGTCAGATCCGTCAGTATTCTACGACTATGACGATATGATCGTATAGAAAATTAATGTAGGATTTTGGAAACTGCGAGACGTTCTCTATAATATGCAATTAGTGGCTATTGATAAAAACAAAATATCGAAATGTTAGTGTTGACTGAAAAAAAGTAAAAAATTCATTAACTATTCACATTAATATATTAATAAGTATATTGTTTCGCCCATGTAAGCCCCCATGCGTTACTATTCCTGAGGACTGAAGTGTTATTCCTCTGTACCCTGTAAATTCACTGTCATATACCATCCTTCAACACACTTGGACAGAGGTGCCCAAGCAAACGACTTTTGTACAAAGTCTCCTTCTGGTGATAATATAGTATATATATATATATATATATATATATATATATACGTATAAGTATGCAAATGAAGTATATTCATTCATTCATTCAATAAAATATCGCAATAGGTATTAATAGGATATCTTTTCTTTTTTTTATACAACTTAGAATGGCAAACAAACTGACGGCCCGCCAGATGGAAAGTGGTAACCGTCGCCTATAGACATGAGCAGTACCATGGACATACACAGAGTATACTGTTTCCCCCATGATACCCCCCATGCGTTGCCATTCCTGAGGACTCAGGTATTATTCGTCTGTACCCAGTAAATTCACGCCATATCCCACCCTTCAAACCGAAACACAGCTATGCAAACACAACTGCTTCACGGTTGAAACACGAATGGGACAGAGGTACCCAAGCAATCGACTTTTGTACAAAGTCTCCCTCTAGTAAACTTCACTTCTTGATATATATTATTCAGTTGAATGAATATTACCACTGGATTTTGGGCCTAGTATATCCATTACCACTAACCTTGTATATGTTATATTAATTATAGAAAAAATCAATAAAGACTTATAGTTTTCATTTTGTTCTGTAGTTATAGTATTGTAGTATTATATCCACTATTAATGGTATTTATTTATAACGACAGTTTACAAAGTTTAATTATTTCAGTTCAGTTATCGAATATTGATTCATTATCTATATTTATTTTTCTATAATCATCAACATTATTTCCTACTCCTAACTCCTCTTATGGAGAAGGCTTACGTTCAGCAGTGGACAGTTAACCACTGACATGATGATGATGATGATGATGATGATTAACATTATTTCAGCTGTTAATTGTCAACTGCTGAATAAAGACCTTCCTCGTAGACTGCCATAAGGAACAGCCCAGCTATCTGCATTTACTGACTTCCTGCAATGCATTTGTAATTATTTTTCCATTTAGTGGGAGGTCGTCCTACACTGTGTTTATTTATTTATTTACTAGCTGTTGCCCGCGACTTCGTCCGTGTTTCCGTCGTTTTTCGAAAAAATAAGTAGCCTATGTCCTTCCTCACGGTTCAGTGGTTTTGATGTAACAGACACATTTCCCTTCACTGCTCTGTTCCTATTGATCGTAGTGTGATGAAAAGTAAGCAGCCCAGGAGTATGAAGAATAATTGTACCAAGTTTCGTTAAAATCCGTCGAGTAGTTTTTGTTTCTATAACAAACATACAGACAGACAGACAGACAGACAAAAATTTTACTAATTGCATTTTTGACATCAGTATCGATCACTAATCACCCCCTGATAGTTATTTTGGAAATATACTCGTATTTCATGTACAGAATTGACCTCTCTACAGATTTATTATAAGTATAGAGTATTACAGAACTCCTATTATCAGAATAAAGTAATTTTGGTGCATGATAGTTTGTTACAATTTCTGAATAACTAATTATATAATGTATTTTCCATAAACTTATATAAATTTTAATACGTTCTAAATATAGGTCAATCGCTTTATAGATAACCTCAATGGGTAGTAATAGAATGCGTTTCTTTTCGTAAATGAGGTCCCGTATTCGATTCTTTGCAAAGCCAATAGGAGCTTATTATGCACAAATTAGCCGTCTCTTAGGAATAGTCCAGGAAATGTTTTTTTATTTTTTATACAACTTAGAATGGCAAACAAGCTGACGGCGCACCTGATGGAAAGTGGTACCGTCGCCTATAGACGTGAGCAGTACTATGGACATAATAGAGTATACTATTTTGCCCATGATACCCTCCATGTGTTGCCATTTCTGAAGACTCGGGTGTTATTTCTCTGTGCCCAGTAAATTCACGCCATATCCCACCCTTCAAACCGAAACACAGCCATGCAAACACAACTGCTTCACGGTTGAAACACGAATGGGACAGAGGTACCCAAGCAATCGACTTTTGTACAAAGTCTCCCTCCGGTCCAGGTAATGTACGTATTTTTTGCATAACTAGCTGCAATTTAGGAAAAGATTGTTTCTTAATTAGCTCAAGTTTGTGTATTCTTGATTGTGTGGCCAGACGTTCGTTGTTTGGTTTCTCATATCACACGGTTTCTTCTAGAATTTGAGATCCAGAATTTGAGAATATAAGTACATCACAATCACAGCAGTCGGCTGTGATTGTGTTTTAAGTACTTGTATTTTTTTTTATACAACACATTAAAAATACAATAGCAATAATCCTAGATTATATAGATAGAGCATCGAGCCTTAAAAACGGGTCAACTTTTTGTCAGATAATTGGTAAATATTCGTTTTTTTTATCAGTATTCTATATACTTAGGCATAAAATGTATTATTTAGTAAGTAAAATAAATGTTTATACATTATATTTATACCAGAGGGAGACTTTGTACAAAAGTCGATTGCTTGGGTACCTCTGTCCCATTCGTGTTTCAACCGTGAAGCAGTTGTGTTTGCATGGCTGTGTTTCGGTTTGAAGGGTGGGATATGGCGTGAATTTACTGGGTACAGAGGAATAACACCTGAGTCCTCAGGAATGGCAACGCATGGGGGGTATCATGGGCGAAACAGTATACTCTGTTATGTCCATGGTACTGCTCATGTCTATAGGCGACGGATACCACTTTCCATCAGGTGGGCCGTCAGCTTGTTTGCCATTCTAAGTTCTATAAAAAAAAAAAAAAAAAATTAAAAAGATGCAGAAATTATAAGACAAAATAGATGTATAAATTATAAAGGAATCACTCTTAACTATTTATCACGCAAAATTGCATGAAAAAGTTGACCAGCTTTTCTCGAAGCATTTCTATGGGGACACTCTATCTATATAATCTAAGGTAACAATGTATCTACTTCTTTCAATTCTATACTACACATGCAAATATTATTCCTTACTTTTGAAATAAATTGTATTATTTCAAGTAGAGACAAACCAAATAATTTCTAACATGCCAAATAAGAAGATCAAAGTACTTACCCAGATAACGATGCTGAATTTGAAATTGGTGGACTATTAGATTCGAAGCCTTCCTTTGGATTATCATTAGCTAGTTGCATTTTCAATTGATGTCCAAATCGTGCCAGATCCTCCCTGAAGGTGTCTGATCCAGGAGTCGTCGGTTTCTCATCATCACCCGTAGCCATTGCCTCGGCATCATTCTTCAGAGGTTCCTGCTCAGATTCCTCTTCAGTGTTGTAAATTTTAAAATACGCAAACGTTAAATATATCACCGAAATTATGAAAGAAGGTATCGGTATCGCCATGGCATATACCAGATTGAGTGTATTCTGCCACATATCTAACTCGGTTATCACTAATCCGGGATCCACCCGACTGTAGTAGCAGGTATAGTTGTTGCCTAACGGTCTGTACTTCCCATAGAAAATGGTGCAATTCAAAATGGGCGGGTAACCGCACCCTTTCACGTTCGGAAAGAGACGGGCACCCGTGAAGTACCATTCCGAGTCGTTGCCTTGAAGACCAGTTGGATACGCGTCCGGCAAATCTTTGTCTTCGAACATTTCTGGAGGTGAAAATTCGTAGTTCTCGTACTCGTAATCCTTCCTCAGTGCTCTCTCCACTCTCACTAAGTTCTCAACGTCTGTCGCTGTTATGTTTGGGTAATCCCCAAGTTTATAATTTACTCTTATCTGGGTGCACTCGAAAAGATCCTTCGTGCAACCTTCCCTGCAAGATGCCCACGAACAATTGCTTGCACCAACTAAATGCTTCACTTGTGCCGTCACGCATAATGCTGCCACTGGATCGAATTGCATGAAGATTGTCGTGAAAGCTGGTTCAATCACGAACGGCACTAAGAACAGAAAGGCGAAGAGGCTGAACGTGGCAAGCAGTACGAAACTGGCTGTTGTGTAGAAGAGTAGTTTCTCTTGGAAGGTTGGAGGTATAACTTCTTCGTCAGCCATGGTGGCGTGGGGTCGCTAGTAGCGATCATAGCGCTTGTTTCAGCTAGGCTGGGTCATTTCATGCGTATGATCATATCAGTCTTGCAGCCGCTTTATTGGTTTATATTGCACTTATTGTTACTCACGTATGATTATTTACATTGTTCTATAAAGGAGAACGGGCTTTTATGAGCTGGTTTACTTAATTGTTTTGTTATCTGTATTTTAATATTTTTGGAACTGTTAATGATAGTTTCAAGAGAAAAAAAAATTGAATTAAAAACAAAGTAAACTGAGAGCCTACCTATAGTTAATAATATTATATATTGTTTCACCCATGGTATCCTAAATACGTTGCCATTCCTGCCATTCGAAATCACCGCATTTTTTTGGAAACCAAAATCTTTATGTTATATTCCTCTCCGCCATTACGATCCCTACATCAGATTTTATTAGAATACGTGTGTTTCCCCTATCAATATACGAGTATATGTTTGAAAGCCGGTTATGTACCTAGTGGGTAATATATACTACCCATTACCGACCCGCAACTTTGTGGAATTTATAACTATCGTATATTTACTCCTTGGTTTTGAGTTACCGCTCTGAAGGAAAAAATACCCTTTAAGTAAATATCGCAGCTGTGGTTTTTCCGAACTGTTTGAAATGTATACATTTTTTTAAAACTAATTTTATAATAAATAATCGTCAGCATAACCATCATCATCGTCATGATAATCATCATCATCATAACCATCATCATCGTCATGATAATAATAATCATCATAACCATCATCATCGTCATGATAATCATCATCATCATAACCATCATCATCGTCATGATAATCATCATCATCATAACTATCATCATCGTCATGATAATCAACATAATCATAACCATCATCATCTTCATGATAATCATCATCATCATAACCATCATCATCGTCATGATAATCATCATCATCATAACCATCATCATCGTCATGATAATCATCATCATAACATCATCATCGTCATGATAATCAACATCATCATAACCATCATCATCGTCATGATAATCATCATCATCATAACCATCATCATCGTCATTATTATCATCATATAAACCTCTTCCTTGGGGAACGGGGTTGGTCGGTAGTTGCCACTTTTGGTAGGCAGTTTGATAATATAGTTATTTCTTTGGTGACGTTTTAAGAGGGACTAATAGTCATTGTCAGCAGTTATAGACACGATGATCATATAATGATATTACTAGTTTTTACCCACAACTTCGTACAACTATAAAAAGTACCCTATATTCTTCTCTATCCCATATAGTACGTGTATACCAAATTTCATAGTGATTGGTCGAGTCGTTGAAGCACTGTAAGATAACAAACTTACATTTATAATAATAGTAAAGATTTTAAGAAAGCAAGAAATAAACATTTCGTCATAGTCGTAGAATACTGACGGATCTTTATATGTAATATTTGTCAGATCCGTCAGTATTCTACAACTGTGACGATTTATTTAGTGCTTGCAAACATAATTACAAAAATATGTAACAATAAACAAAAAGAAAAACATTAAAATGGTGTCACTCAGTTACGTGCTATATTCTTCTGAACATGACGCTAATTATCAGTGGTGTGTTCCTTCTAAAACTCCCCCTTCTCCATTCATGCTGTACAACTACAAGCGGCCTCTGTTGCACGCAATGCGATTGTTAGTTTTTTGACAGCTGAACAAGAACTCATGACGTGTGGTGTGTGTAAAAGAAAAAAAAATCGAAAGGCTAAAAACTAGTGTCCTGGGACTAAAATTGCAATTAGAAGAATTAGGCAATTAACAGACGTGGCGACGGCTAAACTTGTATATTTTAGTTATTTCCATAGCATAATGTCTTATGGCATACTGCTGTGGGGTAAAGCAGCCGATATAAATACTATATTTGTTTTACAAAAGAGAGCCATACGTTCTATTTATGGTATGGGTTCAAGAGAGTCATTACGTCAGTGCTTTAAAGACTCAAATATCCTCACAGTTACTTCACAATACATTTATGAAAATATTATGTATACACGGAAGAACTTAGCGAGTTTTAAAAAACTCAAAGACTGTACAAGTAGAAACTTACGCAATATAAATAAGCTTATTTTACCTAAATGCCGTCTGCACAAAATCAGTAATTCATTCTATGGTAATTGCATAAGATTTTATAATAAACTGCCGGAATCTGCATTAAATCTGACAGAGAGGCAATTCAAATCTTATATTAAACAATTTTTATGTAAGAAAGCCTATTACAGGATAGACGAATTCATAGATGACAACATATCAAGTAAATAATTAGTTTATTAGCATACAACGTTATAATTTTATTTTCTCATTGCTTTCTTGATTTAATTGATTAATTTTAGAAATATGAAAGCGTAGCGGTTTTTTTGTATTAATTGCCGCATGCATTCTTATGTAAAATGTGAATACTATAACTATCAGATGGCAATTGTGAGTAGCTTTGACGTGGTCTAGTGTTTTGAGTAGTCATGCTCACTAAAATGTCCAGACTTGTGGCGGCGTGGTGGGCCGGGTCATTGGGCTCCCTAAAATATGGTCGAGCGCAGTGATGGCTGGCTCATCCGTCATACTCGTGAACGGGTGCTGCTTGTAGGGACTGGTCTGCTCTAATCACTATGACTGATTTCCTCTTATTAATTGTTTAACCAGTTGGTTATGTATTCAATTTTTTTTTTCTTTTTGAGTATTTAATTGAATTAGTGGTAATTGGTGGTTTGTATTCACACAATTAAACTTAAAAATGTAAAATAATAATAAAATTATTTAAAAGAGCATCACGCAAGTTTCTTGCTCGTTCTTCTTGTGATGAGACAGCTTTCCGAACGAGCGGTAAATTAAAAAAAAATGTAATGACTTTTCAAAAGTGCTTCAATGTAAGTTTATTTGAATAAATGATTTCTATTCTACTCTAAAGAAAAGACAGTAGAAGAAATACAGTAAGTCCTTATTTTTTTCCTCCTTTTATTCGGTTTTCTATGAAATAAACAAAAAAGCAAAATTAATATAAATCGAACAAGTGGCGCCAGTTTGTTAGAGAAAGAGTATTAACTACTTAAAATCAAATAACAAAAGAAAAAATACTAGACTGACTTGGTAAACAAATGGCGCGCGCAAAGTACTTAATTTAGTACAAAATTAATAGCAGAAACGTTATTTTAATAAATTAAATGCCCGTTAAATATATAATATCTCGTTTTGTTGTGGTTTTAATGTTAACGAGAACTCGTATCCTTGTCTATTATTAAATAATTGTCGGGTTTTTTTCCTAACATTATTTTCACAGCTCAAGTTCCGAGCAAGAAATACAGCTCCCGAGGGTAGTTCCTGTGATTTACGGCCATCCTGCCCAATTATAAGGATAGCCGGATTAATAAACGGTACCTACTGAGTAATATTTTAAAAACTTCTGACCATTATAATAAAACCCTTTCTAAACTTTAGATATTAGAGATTGAATGAATGAAAAAATGAACAAGTGACACTTAAAAATGTTTTTTAATTATAAATTGGAACGGCTTTAGAACATATTCAATTCATCTATATTTTTTTTTTAGAATATTTTACGCATATTTTCTATATTTATTTATTTATTTATAATTTATAAGACAGTTTTATACGTTTTTACAATATGTTAAAAAGCTGGCTACTTTATGCAGATATTGGTTTGTTTTTCTTATCTTTATTACAGAATACAATACGTGATCATAATCAAAGTTTAAGCTCAAGTACAAGAATAATTCTTTAAATAAATTATTTCTTTCTTACTTTCTAACAAATACAAGTAGTTACGCATGACGTTTAAAAATTATTAAATAGAAAATGTAAATATATATATATATATATATATATATATATATATATATATATATATATATATATATATATATCATAGTTTCTATAACTGCTGACAATGACTTAAAATTACGTCCCTCTTAAAATGTCACCAAAGAAATAACTATATTATCAAACTGTCTACCAAACGATATGGTGATCGTATAGAGATATTAACGTATGCTATTGGTATACGCTATTGGAATGCGCTGGATAGCGTACCACTGTGGAATGACAGATGAGATATTGATATTTATATATATTTAATGACAAAATAGATATATTTTTAAAAGGTTTTTTAAAATTTTTAAGTTTGTAAAATAAACCTATAAGCTCACTACACGTTTTGGAATACTGTAAGTGTGGTGAGTAATTTTTAAACAAATAAATAAATGAGAATGAAGTTTTTTTTTTATACCACTGAGGTGGCAAACAAGCATACGGCCCACTTGATGGTAAGTGGTTCCCGTAGCCTATGAACGCCTGCAATATCAGAGGTATTACGCGTGCGTTGCCGACCTTAAAGAAACCTCTTTACCCCACTTTTGAAGAACCCCATGTTGTAGGCTCTTGGGAAAACCTCGGCAGGGAGCTCATTCCATAACCTGAGTGTTCGTGGGAGGAAACATCTCAGAAACCGCGCTGTATGTGACCAAGAAGTTAGATCAATTGACCCATCAAACGTTAACGACGATGGTTTACAGCAGTGACCACATGGGGAATAACCTGACAGGGTATTTTGCTAACCGCAATATATATAAGACCGCAAGTTGATATCTCTGTTGTCCCGGTATAGAATGGGCCACCACTTCCTTTCCCGTGGGTAACTTAAGAGGCGACTAAGGGAGGACGAGGGATAGGCAGTAGCGTCCGTTTTAAAACATCACCAAAAGCTAAACTGCGGTTACCAATCCGTCTGCCAAGTGTGGCAACTACTGGGAAAACACTCCCTCATATGGAAGGCTTATGTCCAACAGTGGAAAGTGGACTGAAATAATAAATAAAAAGTTGATATCACTAGACCTTAAAACTAACAATCCCCCCCTTAATCCTCCCCCCACTAGTGCCACTTCGACGTGCATACCATTAAAATGAATAAGTATTTTATATTTATTAGCTAATATCATAGTCGTAGGAAAGGCGAACCAAGTAGTCCAGTAAGTACGGTCCGGCTTTTATCCGATGGAGGAAAAAATGTTTTCGGGATTATTTATGTAAGTATATGCGGATTTTTCAAGTTACTTCCCGGACACGGAGGTTTTATATTCGCTTGGTTTTTTTTTTTATATGAATGTTACATTGATTACTTTGGTAATTCTGAAGTTTTTTTTTTATACAACTTAGAATGG